ACCTCATCAGGATCTACTCTCTCTTCTAAAAGAAAAGGCAACAAAAGATGCATGAGGAATTTTCTCTCCTGTGTATAAATCATCAGTACTTTTGAAAATGTTTACTCTGGAAACTGCTCTAGAATATTTCCATTGGATTATGCCAAATTGACCTTCTTTTTTTTTTTTTAAGGTCAAAAGGAAATGAATAAATGTCATCAATTTAGAGGATTTCACACCTAGCATTCTTTTCTATATCACTGCGAATTTGATACTGTTAAAACATTTTTATAGGTAAAATAAATGTCAGTTTTGCAAAGAGCGATACCAGACCCTGAGAGACAAATGGCCTATCCATTGAATCTCCGGCTACAGCAAGACTTCCTCACCTCACAGGAGATTTCAGCTTTTCACATTTCGCTTTACCCAGAAAGCAAAGCTTAGACAGTTTCTTTCAAATGGTAACTCTGTCTTATCCTACAATAATCCGGGATGGGGGGTAGTGGGTTGGCTTTCAAAAATAATAAAATAAAGTACAAATGTTTGAATAGCGTTATGATATTATAACATCTTCTTGAAGAAGACCGCAAAAAAGAGCGGGAAGGTGAGGCTAAATTCCAGAGTTATAAGAAAGGGTTATGTTGCTTTGGGCTTAATGGCTCATAAATTCATGAGGTAATATTCAGGGAAAATGTGATATTTTATCAGAATGTCATTCAAATATAAGGTTTAACATTTACATCACAAGAGCATGCAGAGAGTAAAACTCTCCTCCGGGAGAGAAATGGCAAGAATAAACAGTGTGATAAAAAAAAAAAAATGCAGTGCTTGCCGACACAGGGAAGTAGAGGCTGGGGGGCTTAGGAGACAGCTGACTCAACTTTTTAAAATATGTGACTGGTTATGACATGTGAAGCAGTTACCATTAATGGGAGAAAAGCTATCTCAAAGCTCATTTTCATTCGTCTAAAGCTTTCCTGAGAACCACATCTTTCCAACTACAAAGTGAAGAAAAAAAAAAAAAAGAATAAGAACACAAAGACAGAGAGAAATCACAACACGAGACTCTTCCTGGTACAGAGGCCGTCAAAGGTTTCTTTACTCATAAGCAAAAGGGGAAGAGAAATGCACATATTGCCTGGGGTTTTTTATTTTATTTTCTCGCCAGAAGAGATCGATGTTATGTTGGAGAACAGACAAAATGCATTGATTAAAGAAGTCTTTCCATAACATACACATGATTTTACAATTCAAAAGAGTCTAAGATAAAGAAGAATCATTTGTCTACAATGATATCAATTTGGGGTAATATATTCTCTGGAAGCAAAGTCAGTACGTTCAGAAATGCCGTTTAGATTAGTCTAATTCTATAGAATCCAAATGTGCACCCAACACTGCACTTTTTATGTTAAATTGCTGTTGAATTTGTTAACCCACAACTGATTTCCTGTGTTATGGAATCTTGGAGATTACAGCTAACTTGAAGCAACAGGGATAATTCTTGACAGTTAATGGTAGATTTGTATGCATTTTCCTGAAAGGCTAGCATCTCCAGGGCCTCAAACTGGTAGCTCAACATTGCCCCCTACTGCTTGCAACTAAAAAAAATAGGAGATGGGCTGGTACCAACTAGGAATCCCACCCGCCAGGGCCTGTTCCAGCCCCTGTACACAAATACCAGATGGCATTGCACTAACTATAGACTTTTCCAATGACTTTTCTGTCTCCCCCAATAGTAAAAATAAACTATTATGAATTTGTTAAAAGTAATTTTAAAATGCTTAAAGCAATGCTCAAATTTAATTTGGAGAGACCAACCCTTTTATCTTGGCCCAAACCTTCACTCTGCTGATAAGGATCATCCTGGGGCCTGCTGAGAGACACACTGAGGCCATTGAGCTCCCTTGGAACACTGAGGAATGCCACACCAACTGCAAGGAAACCAGCTCCAGAAAATTTCCAGGGTTGCTCTTCTTTTTAGTCTTTTTTTAAAAATATGAGATCTATAAAATAAATAGAAGAGAGTCCCCCAAAGGAATGTCCCACTGCCACCAAATAAATACAAATGTAAATTTTTTGAATGAATTCAATTGAATGCCACAATACCAAAGGTTTTATCTAAAAAAAGAAAAAAAAAACTCTCAAACAAAAGTAATTTAAAAACATTTTTAATAAAAACAAAGTTCTTGCCTTATTTGTTTTCTAACTCTAATTCACAGAGCTGTCAAATTACAATTTCAAATGCAAGCTGATGCCTTCTAGTTGGGGTTCAGCAGGAAGAGAGAGTCTAACTTATAAATGAATGACCAAAATTAGCATTACGCAATGGGCAGGACACCTAAAAGCTGCCTTTAAACAGGGCTTCCCACAAAAACAGGCTCTCCTTTAGGAACAGAACTAAGGAGATTCAGGCCAGCACTTCCATTTCCTCCAACTGAGAATTAGAATGCTCAGTTCTGCATTGATTCAGGTCTTCAGAGAAATCAATTCCTGTGATATTGCTAACATGCTAAAAGAAGGATTTGAACATTCCCGTTCCAGACATCCATCCACAAAAGGGCGCAGTCTAAAGATCTGGAGAAGGGTTTGGAAAGCAGGGACTTCCGGGTTCTGATTCAGACTTAGAGTTTGGTTGCGGAACCCCCAAACCTGGGTCCTTCCACTCAGTGCACAGCCAGCCAATCGCTGACATCGGTGCGCTGGAAGAAGGCAGGTTCACTTATGAAGCACACAGCAAGGCTGTGTTAGGCCTGGGCTCCCCGAGAGGCTAAATCCAGGAATGGATCTCACAGCCTGGAGGCGGGGATAAGATGTGTGTGTTCAGCAGGTTGGTTGCTGGTGTTGTGGCCCTCCTTTGATTGGCCAATGATATTGTATTTTGGGAGGAATTTCAATGAAGGGCAGTGGGCTCTACTTTGTCAAGGCTACACAGTGGTGACAGTTACTTTCTGCTCAGGACCTGTGGTTCCTAGAAAAACACTCACTGGTCCATAGACCAGTGACCTCATGAGTCTAGTGATCTGAGATCCTGTGGGGCCAGCTGCACCACTCCCTTAAATTACTGAGTTAATTTTAGGACGAGGTGGATTTGCCATCAGAGAAGCAGGGTAAGGGAGGGAGCCCTGGGAGGCTGTGGGGGGTTAGTGCCCAACAGTATCTAGTACCTGCAGCAAGGGCCCTGGACAGGGCTTGGCTTCTGTTATGACTTGATACTTCCATTATTATAAAATGAATGTCAGCGTCGCTCCTACATTGTGTAGGATCTTATCACACTATGGAGGAGGAGGAAGAGGAGCAAGTGGTGCGGAGAGGCTCCAGAGGTGGCAGTGGGCCATTTCTGGTGCTGAAGGATCTATGGCATAAATTTGGTGACAGTTTCCTGGGTGTATACTTATCTCCAAATTCATCCAGTTATATCTATTAAAAATGTACAGCTTTTCGTATGTCAATCGTATTTCAATAAAATGATTTTAAAAATAAAACCAGGACGGCGCCACGGCTCACTTGGCTAATCCTCTGCCTGCGGCACCGGCACCCCGATTGGGGCGCCAGATTCTGTCCCGGTTGCTCCTCTTCCAGCCCAGCTCTCTGCTGTGGCCTGGGAAGGCAGTGGAGGATGGCCCAGGTCCTTGGGCCCTGCACCTGCATGGGAGACCAGGAGGAAGCACCTGGTTCCTGGCTTCAGATCGGTGCAGCATGCCGGCTGTAGCAGCCATTTGGGGGGTGAACACCTTTCTCTCTGTCTCTCTCTCTCTCTCACTGTCTAACTCTGCCTGTTAATAAATAAATAAATAAATAAAAATTAAAAAAAAATAAATAAAACTGGGATGAGACACAGTTACTCGTTTTTGCAGATGGGCTCCCTGTCGGCAGCGCAGTTCAAAACTGCGCAGGGAGGGTGTCTCCAGCACGTAGCAGGCTTTTATCACTTTGCCACTACTTTCTAAACTCTACTGTTGGGCGACAGGACCGTGAGAGGTGAAGGGCAAGAACTGCAGAGCCAGCTCTCCCCACCTATTAGGCTGAGTGACCTTGAGAAAGCTACATCAGTCCTTTGTGTTTCACTCTCCTCCTTTGTAAAAGTGGAGACAATACATCAGCTTTCTGAGGCTGTCATAAAAGTTAGGTAAGTTATATAGAAAACACTCAGAATAGCGTCTGGGCCTTTGGAAATACCACGGGAGTGTTTCCTATTATTATTATTTAAAATTAAGGCTTAATTCAACACCTCCGAGTGACTTCAATTCGCCTCCCAGCTCCATTTCCTACCATATCCCCTGCAATTTCTTGGCTCCAGCCACACTCTGATCTTGTTTTTACAGTTCCTGGAGCCTCATGTTCCACCCCAGATGCCCTTCCCCACCCGACTCCTCCCCATCCAAGGTCCCCAAAGCCACATCTAAGGTTTTACCACAGTCCCATTTCCAGTGGTCTGAATTTAATACTCCCTCCTCTGGAGCGGGATTTTTTTTTTTAAATCCTCTATTATAAGATTTCATTTTAGTGAATGTGATATCTGGTGACACTCATGTCTGTCTCCTTGTTGAACTGTTTGATCAGCAGGGTTCAGAGCACAGCTCCGCGGCCACACTGCTTGGGTTTCAATCTTGCTCTGCCACTGACTTGCTGACCTTGGGTAAGGCACGGCATTTCTCTGTCCTCAGTTTTCACATCTACAAATTAAGGCTCATAAGTATTTTCTATACCTCTTAGCATTACTGTAAGAATTCCCTTAGAAGACTGCCTAGTGCCTATAAAAATGCAAATGAATGTTGTGTGCTGTTGTTGAACTGTCCTCTTACCACTACTCACTGGCACAGTGCTTTATGTATAGAAAACACTAATAAATGTTTATTGAATCGAACTGAGATTGTAGTGACAAAACCCTACTTGTTCCCATCACCTCAAATCACTGAGTAGTATGGAATAATTAAACACACATTTGCCTATGCAAAATAGGCAGAAGAGATTTACCTTGCACAGGATCCCAGAAAATGTGGTCCCCAACCTCATGTACTTACCACATCTTCCATCTTCTTCCACAGTCCCTCCAGTTGAGTCATGGGTTCACACCACCAATCAGTGCACTTTTTGTATCGGTTGCCTTGAAACCAGTACTGCCTCAGCCACTCAAACTCGACCTGGGAGCCACAGAAAGAAGGCAGTGGTTACAACGTCCTTGAGATGGACAAGCAAGGACAACGACTTTGCTGCTCAATTCCCCTCCAGTAACTTCAGAGCCACAGAGTGAGAAAAGGTGAGAAAAGCTTGACCTACCCCGTTCCCAGCAAAACCTAAGAGTCTCCAGGGCACTTCTGCAAAGCCAAGAAAAGAATCATCTTAAAGATGAGGTCTAAGGAAGGCATTTGGCACAGCAGTTAAGCTGCCACCTGGGACACACAATGCGTTTTGGGCTGCCTGGGTTCTCAGTCTCGGCTCTACTCTCCGGTCCAGATTCCTGATGACGTGCACCTTACGAGGCGGCAGGTGATGGCTCAGGACGTGGGTCCCTGCCACCCACATGGGAGACCAGGACTGCGTAATTTCTCCTGTTTCCAAGCTGGCCTAGCCTTGGCTGTAGCAGGCATCTGAGCAGTGAATCAGCAGATGGGAGATCTCTTTCCATCTTTCTCCCTCACTTCTCTCTCTAATTGCCTTTCAAATAAACAATTTTTTTAAAAAAAGCTCTTTAAAACAAGAGCTCAGGTTCTTTTAGAAAGACATCCCCGCTCCCACTAGGGCGGGGTTTTGAATCATCTTCATCAATCAGATGTGGAGAAATTTCTAAGTCAATTAGCAATGCTGAGATCCTAAATACAAGCAGCCTGCATCACGTGCTGCAAGAAAGACATGATCAAACAAAATATGTTTTATTAAATGTATTTATGAAGACTAGTATTGAAAAACAACAGATTGGGGCCAGCGCTGTGGCACAGCAGGTTAGGGCCCTGGCCTGGAGCACCAGCATCCCATATGGGCGCCAGTTCGAGTCCCGGCTGCTCCTCTTCCAATCCAGCTCTCGCTATGGCCTGGGAGGGCAGTGAAGGATGGCCCAAGTCCTTGGGCCCCTGCACCCGTGTGGGAGATCCCGAAGAAGCTCCTGGCTCCTGGCTTCGGATCGGCGCAGCTCTGGCCGTTGCAGCCATCTGGGGAGTGAGCCAGCAGATGGAGGACCTCTCTCTGTCTCTACCTCTCTCTGTAACTCCATCTTTCAAATAAATAAAATAAATCTTAAAAAAAAAAAAAGAAAGAAAACAACAGAAACACATCAGGGAATACCAACTATAAGTTCCGTAGCTTAAAAATAAAATGCTAATCCATGGGGAGGGGGTGGGATGTTGGTAAAAACATTTGCCCATATAACCAAACATACATTAAACATACAAAGCCATTCAAATTGTCAACTCAGGGCAAATGACAGTAAGTCGGAGCAATAGCAAAGCCACTAGTAGTTTATTTTCCTTCCATAGAAACTACTACAGTAAACTTCTATTGCTTGCTGTCTTAGTATTTCTCCTTGTAGTCTCGTAAAACCGTGCAATTCATTTGGTAACCACCCCATCTCTATTCTCAGTCCCTGTGGGTTAAGTAGAGCTCTCGGGGCCGGCGCTATGGAGTAGCGGGTAAGGCTGCTGTTTGCAGTGCCAGCATCCCATGTGGGGGCTGGTTCAAGTCCTGGCTGCTCCAATTCTGACCCGGTTCTCTGCTGTGGCCTGGAAAGGCAGTAGAGGATGGCTCAAGTCCCTGGGCCCCTGTGCCCGCATGGGAGACCCAGAAGAAGCTCCTGGCTCCTGGCTTCACATTGGTCCAGCTCCAGCCATTGCGGCCACTTGGGGAGTGAACCAGTGGATGGAAGATTTGTCTCTCTCTGCCTCTGCCTCTCTGTAACTGTGCCTTTCAAACAGGTGAATGAATCTTTAAAAACAAGCAAACGAAAAAAAAGAGCTCTCACGGCTTTATCGGGGTGGAATTTGCAACCCAAGTCTAAGCCAGTCAGCCTGCCCCATTTCTCTATAATTGTCCTGGATGGCAGTAGATATATGTTCAATCAGAAAAGTCTCAAGACCATCAACAGATATAGGAAGAAGACTACAGCCATTGGGCATCAAATGGAATGGAGTTAACACAATAAGACGTGACTGCAAAAAGAAACCATAAAAACCAGGCCCTTGGTGACATCAACTGATTCTTGATCAAGCTCTTCCTGAAGCTCTTTTTACTTAAGCCAGTCAGGCTGAGTTTTCTGTCTCATGCAACTGAAATCATATCAACATAAAGATGAGAGGCTCAGTAAAGCTTTAGAAGTATAAGAAATGTGTCCTATTTGTCTCTCAAGAATTCTATCACTCATTTTCAATGTGAAAATCAAATTTTACCATCAAAGTACAAGTCCATTCTTCCCAAAAACTCTTTCTACCTCTGCCCTCTAAAGAAATGTAGAGCAATCACAGCTTCAGGTTGGGTCCTCTGGCTTTGCTAAGGTGATCATGTTCCATACACAGACACAGAGCCATTATAATCTTCACCTGTTACCACAAAGGATTTTTTGTTTGTTTATCCATATTGAACTTTCATGAGGCAAACAAAAGCAACTTGTGAAGATTTAACAATGGTGAAAATGGATCAAATAAGTAACCTGAGAACACCAAGTCATTTGAAAAGGTCTTAGTTTACATTAACTAAATGTTTGTTTGATACGTAAACCTGATTTCAGTTAAAGCTGTTTAAACAAAACAAAAAAGGAATGTAGACAAGATTAAGACAACAGTTGCTAAACCTTATCTGTGGTATTAAAAGACAGTGGTTAACAGAAGTAAACCTGAGCACTCTGAAAGGAGACTGAAGACAAGTGTAGTTCAACTTCTGTGAAGATACAGGTTTAACAACATATCTATTACAAGAAAGAAATTATGTTCTTTTTCATGGATTGCACATGAAAATTGCTCAGGCCATAGGAACAGCCTGTCAACAACACATCGGGCCCTGTGTTAAGAGAGTTGAAAGGTTTTTTAAAAGATTTTCCAATGTGTGGACTGGTGACTGCCACTGAAGATGACAAAAGGCATAAGCCTTGGCAATGAGGGTCTATCCCAGGAAATAAACTGGATCATCATATGTAATTAGCTCATTCAGTCTATCAGGATACACTCGCATGCAGAGCTCAGTCAAACTCAGACATGAGGAAAAGGGCGTATCTGGGCACTCTGCTACTGGACGATAAAAGAGCACTATTTTAATAAATGGTGCCTTCCTCGTCCTCCTCGATGCCTTTTGAAGCAGACATTGTTGTGGTTACCAGTGAGGGCTCTGGAGTCAGTTCAACCCTGGGCTCCACTACAGAAAAGCGATGTCGTCTGTAAAACAGGGATAATTACATAATAACCACATAGGTTTGTGGTAAGGATTAAATAGTTAATAATGAGCTGCCTATATATGTCAGGCACTTGCAAGACACTAAGAATACAAACTGAACAAGACCACAAGGCCTAGAACTTACAGTCTCCAGGCATCTCACCATCTTAAGAAGTTTTCTTAGGAGGAAAACTTCTAATTTTCATGCCAACTCATGTCCCCCTTTCCACTAATGCCAGTCAGAATAGTTCAGTAGTGAGAACTTAACTCCCAACAGAGTTTTATTCATGAAGTGAAGCATTGCCCATGAGATGCAATCTTTCTGAACATCAAATCCATTGGCATGCATCTTATTTGACTCCATGCCGTGACATTTCCATTTCAATGTTGTGGCTATAACAGTATAAGATTTTAACCAAATGTCCCTCTCACCAGTTTTCCTACTGCCAAGGGAAGTAGTTGGCTCTTTTCTAAAAGTTAAGGAAGCAAAAAAAACATTCCCAGTCACTTGATTCAAAGTTTGAAGTAAAAACAAAACAAAACAAAACAAAAACACTCCCTAAACTCTGGAGATTAAGAAGGAAAATTGCAGGATGGGCACTGAATAAAACCCAAAGGATGGGAGGGGCATTTGGCACACTGGTTAAGATGTCATTTAGGAGACCCTTATTCCATACAGGAGTACCTGGTTTGAACCCCAGTTTTACTCCTGCTTCTGCCTTCCTGCTAATGCACACCCTGGGAGGCAGAGGTGATGGCTCAAGTCCTTGAGTCCCTACACACACGTGGGAGACCTGGGTTGAATTCCTTGCTCCTAGCTTCAACATGGCCCTACTCTGGCTAGTGCAAGCCTTTGGGTAGTGAACCAGCAGATGGAAGATCTTTCCTTGTCTCTTTATCCCTGTCTTTCAAACAAACAAAACAAATAAATAAAAATTAAAACATACATACACACATACACCAAAGGGGTAGGACTTGGGATCCAATGGAATCTTTATAACTTCAGGGCTAAAGTGGTGAAATCCTAACCATATTGAATGAGTGATCAAGTTCTAGCCAGGACAGGGGTTGAGTCTTCACCCTTGTCCAGAGCACAGTCCCTCCAAGGAGGCTCCCAGCTAACACAGCAGAAGTGGGAGACAAGCTGTTGGAGCCAGAGCTGTGGTGTAGCGGATTAAGCCTCCAACTACAGTGCTGGCATTGCATGAGTGCTGGTTTGTGTCCCGGCTGCTCCTCTTCCAATCCAGCTCTCTGCTATGGCCTGGGAAAGCAGCAGAAGATGGCCCAAGTCCTTGGGCCCCTTCACCTGCATGGGAGACCCGGAAGAAGCTCCTGGTTCCTAGCATCAGATCAGCCTAGTTCTGGTCATTATGGCTATTTGGGGAGTGAACCAGCATATGGAAGACCTTTCTCTGTGTCTCTTCCACTCTCTGGCTATAATTCTACCTCTCAAATAAATATGCTCTCTCTGGGTCTTCTGAGTATTCCTTACCCTCATGTATGATGTGAACTTCCCCAGTCTTCAAGGGAATTAATGCCCATCACCATCAGAAGGTTCCCTGACAACCAGAGGCCCTGCAGGGTCTTGATGGGCCTCCTGGGCAGCGAAAAACAAAAATGCTCCCAGGAGCTATGGGTACACAGGTGCCATCCAGAAGGCCCTCTTCTGTAACTCACCTGCACTTGCCTGCTCCATGCTATAGTCAAAAAAAGAGATCACTCAAGAAAAGTTGTTCTCCACCAAACACCTAGGACAAGACTGTAAGGGAGGAAGAAACAGAATCCACAC